ATTCGAGAGGGGTAGAATGGAGCGAATCGACACAAGCCCTGGTGGAGGCCAGCAACGTTTCGAAAACAAGAGCCTGAACGATGAGCCCTTTGATCAAGTATTTAAGAGACAGGATCCTGCCTAAAGAAAAGATAGAGGCCCAACAACTACAACGACGAGCAGCCAGATATGTGCTTAAAGACGAAAATCTGTATAAAAGAGGCTAATCGTTGCCACTCTTGAAATGTTTAACGCTCTGTGAAGCCGACTACATCATGAGAGAGATACATGAGGGCGTTTGCGGGAACCATTCTGGAGCACGATCCTTAAGTCACAAAATAGTTCGACAAGGGTATTACTAGTTGACCATGTTAAATGACGCGGCGCGATTCACCAGAAAATGCAATAAATGCCAACGGTTTGCAACAGTGCTTAGGCAACCGCTAGAGCCTCTAACGAACATAATGAGTCCTTGGCCCTTTGTCCAATGGGGAATAGACCTCACAGGACCTCTCCCACTAAGAAAGGGTCAGACCAAATTTGCAGTGGTGGCAGTCGACTATTTCACCAAGTGGGCCGAAGCCAAAGCCCTACTGAGAAGAAGGTCACCGACTTTATCTGGAAAAACATAATTTGCCACTTCGGAATACCCTACACCATTATCAGTGATAATGGGAAGCAGTTCGACAATGCTGCCTTTCGAGAATTTTGTAGGGAGCTGGGCATTAAGCATATCTGTTCTTCACCAGCGCACCCGTAAGCTAATGGGCAGGTTGAAGCAGTCAACAAAATGATCAAAAGAACTCTAAAAACCAGATTAGAGAAGCTTAAGGAATTATGGGCAGAAGAACTTCTCAATGCGTTATGGGCCTACAGAACAACACCATGTACATCAACGGGAGAGATGTCGTTCTCGCTGTCATTTGGTTCTAAGGCGGTAGTGCCCGTGGAAATCGGTCTTCTCTCCCTAAGAGTAGAGCAGTTCAGTTTACCTAACAACAATGAATCCATGCGACTCAACCTCGACCTGTTAGAAGAACATCGAGAAACAACATGACTACGAACGACCGAGTATAAAAATCAAATAGCTTGATACTACAACTCGAAGGTTAAGAAACACGACTTTAAAGAAGGTGATCTAGTTTTAAGAAAGATCATGCCTAATACCAAAGATTCCACTAGTGAGGCGTTCGGACCAACATGAGAAGGCCCATACAAAGTCACTAAAGTGGTTCGAACAGGCACTTATGCCTTGGAAGACCAACGTGGGAAGGTCTCACCACATCCATGGCACGCTCAGCATCTCAGAAGATACTACCACTAGTTCAACACATTTAGGCACTCTATGGTTTTGAACCTTTGTTATATTGGTCAACAAAGTTATTTTATTATAATTCACTCTTCGGCAGGAAGATTTTTCTACTAATAAAAGTCTTCGACATTTGGCGCAATACTTGAGTTTTTATGTTCATTCTGAAACAAATTTCTCAAGTAGGGGGCATACATTGTGTGAATATCTACGACCAGTGAATATCTACGACCAGTCAAGAAACTCAAAGTTGGGACTGACCTAGAAGCAAGCCAAACGGGCAAAAGCCAGTAATAGCTCAGCATGTTCAAAACTAAAGCAGGAAAATACAGGATATAAAACTATTTGGCATGAAAAGCCAAACAAGTTAGAAATCCAAAAATATCGACGCTAGTTCTGCTAAAGTTAGATCCCAGGGCCAAAAGTGAATGATAAAACCAGGCTCAGGAGACTTGATTGGGACCAACGAAAATTAGAGAAAACTTCTAAGTAATATCGATAAGCTTAAGGTACAAAACCAGTGGCAAAAACCATGCATTTAAAATCGAAAACTGGATGCACAAAAAAAATTGTTATGAGATGGAAAAAGCGACAGGCCATGATCAGAAGAGCTTGACAAGACGAACTGGCAAAACAAACCCAAGCCGAGCAGGGCTCAGTGTTAACCCCTGATCGACGCCGACCCGGGCTCGACCCATTGCCGAGCACAACTTCCCAATCTTATGTTGCCTACGGTGCGATGGGCCTGCAACTAGGGCACGTCTAGAAGGTTTTCATCAATCTACATTAATTGACGAAACTGGAAAGAACGATTAAAGATCTCGAGCACGGCCAAACCAGAAGCGGGTCACTTAACCTAGCACGGTTAAAACTAATCGTATAGTGTTGTGTCTTAGATTATGCTACCAATTATTATGTGTAAGTATACACAATCGTCGCAAAAAGTAATAAAAAGTTTGAATCCACAAAGACTAAATGCCCAAACAACCAATATTCACTCAAGAAAGCAATGCAATAAGCCAAGGGGTTTTCTTCTAACTAATAGCTAAAATGTGCTGAAATAAAAGCCATTTAAATATTTATCTTAAATCAATCACGAGTAACTTTGTCGCTAGAGTTAACAAGCATCCACAAACACTTAGTAAGATCTTATGAAAATAAAGGTGCAAGGGGGAGAGGACGTCGACTCTTCTAGGCCATTCTAACTATGCTGCAGCATTAATGGAGTAAACGTAGTGGTCAAATAGACAAGATGTTCTTCCAAACACACCAGATTTTCTACTACTAACGTTCATAGACAAACATTAACATCATATATGCACAGTTTTTATGACCAAGCTAGGTGATGTTTATCCCTAGGTCACCACACGCTAAACTCAAGTAGACTCTAGCAAAAGATGAAGGGTTTCGCTTCTTAATACATTTTTCCAAACATTATCAATGAGTTATTTCAACATTTGATCAAGTACATTGAAAAATAGAGTGATAAAACAACTTCAACTCAAAGCAAACTTTCATTAAATGAAAACAGCAAAGTTACAACCCAGAAAATGAGTTTAGAACATCTTCCCCTTACACAAGGTGATTAGTTAGACAATGCCATAAGGAGAGTCAAAAAATGTAAGAATAAAAACAATACAAAGATGCTAAAAAGGAAGAGAAGGAGCTGAAGATCAGCTCCCAATAGGAGTTCTCGACCTCTTCTCAGCTGCTGATATGAGTCTTCTTCTCCTCTTGACTTTCTCTAACGGTTTTTGAAAGGTTTTCTTGGAGTGAGGGTGGATTCATTCAAGAATGAACAAAGGGAATTTTCTTGATGTCCGTGTGTGGAGGCTTCCCCTCTTGGTTGCATTTATACCCCATTCAGATATTAGGGCAACAACACGAGCCTTGTGGGACCCAACTTCATTCTCGGGTAAAAACCTCCAATTACTGTGGTAAATGTCGCTGAGAAGTCCTTTCACTGCTAGCTTGCTGCTTTTTGTCTTTTTTTGTAACCGATGTTGTA